TCTGAGAAAATTTAACTTATCTAGTGTGTGTTTAGGAGTCTGAGGAGTTGAAGTTGAGGGTTTTGAATTAATTTACTAGTTCTCGACTAACTGAATGAAATTGCTAAAAGCCCAGATTAGCAATTGCTTGGTCATTTAGTCCACAAAAGTAAGATGTTGACAGAAATGGTGGAAGTTGAAAATGCCTTTCCTTTCCCTTAAATTACAGAGATAACTATTTACTGAGACTTACTACCCTTCACAGGGTCATTGGGAGAATTAAATGAAAGAATGTAGATGAAATTCTCATCCTGCTAACCGGTGCATAGCGTGCAACAAATGTTAGATGCCACAGTAATAAAAATGATTGTGATGACTGATTATACCATTTCTGCCACTCCTTCTCTTAAGCATTTTAGCCACATTATCTCATTTGGTCACTAAGGCAAACCACAATGGCAGGGATTTTTGCCCTTGGCTAGCAGAGAAGAAAACTGAAGCGCTTAGAGGTAAAGTAACTTGCCCAGGGTACTATGATTATTTCCATATTCCTGATGGAAAAACCAAGGTTTAAGAAGAATATAGATGGTTACCATCATGACCCTGCTCCATAATTGGCATTATCTCTTTGAGGCCCACCTGAGCAGATGACACCAGCAGCTTCCTCACTGACACAGTTATGCGAGAGCCAGCCATTGTGGGGGCAGCGCCACAGGTAGGACTCGCGCCCCGAGCAGCGCATGTCATCCAGGACAATCAGCCCTGAGCCCTGGCCAAACCGGGCACCTCCTGGGGCCAACATGGCCCAGCCACAGCCCAGCTGCCTGCAGACCACGTTGGCATCCTTGGTGTCCCAGAAGTCGTCACACACGGTGCCCCAGGAGCCTTGGTACAGGACCTCCACCCGGCCCTGACAGGGGTTACTTCCATTCACCAGCCTCAGGAGCAAATCTAGAGAGAGACATGGAGATTTCACTGCTCTGTCCCTTCTAAAGGACAAGGTCTTGGGCTTCTGTGAGATCCAGAGCCCATACAAGTGAGCAAGGACCCTGGAGAGACTTCACAATCTGAAACACAGATTCCTCAGCGCGTTTTAGTGTTTGGATTTAATAAGCTCAACTTTCCTGACTCTTCAGTAGAATGTGGCCAGTGTTGTGTCTCGAGGGGCCTTCGTGGCAATGTCACCCTCAGGTCCCACTCGGCCTGTGGCCTGACCTCTGAAGTCAGTTCCCGCCCATGGGAGCTCCTCTCCTTCCCAACGAAAGTACCTGGAGCGAGCCCAGCACAGCAACGGGAATTACTCCAGACAGGCTCCATTCAGAAAGTAGAGCGATACTCCAGGTGTCAACAGGAGAGCTAGGATTGCTTCTAAAATGCCTGTAACCCTGCGCGTCACACTTCCACACT